CCAAAAGGTAGTAATTTCAACTTAGTGGGATATGTTGATGCTGACTATGCAAGTTTTTTTGTGGATAGAAAGAGCACCTCAGGTATGGCACACTTTCTTGGATCAGTATGGCAAAATTTTGTGGCCTTATCTACTGCTGAAGATGAGTATGTTGTTGTTGCCTCATGTTGTGCTCAATTGTTGTAGATCAAACAACAATTAATGGACTTTGGAATTGATGTAGGTTGTATTCCCATCTTTTGTGATAACACTAGTGCAATTAGTATAACTAAGAACTCGGTTCATTACAAGAGAACTAAGCACATAGATGTTAGGCATCATTTTTTGAGGGACAGCTATGAGAAGGGCTTGATCACTGTGGAATTTTGTGCTACTAACAAACAAATAGCTGACATCTTCACAAAGGCTTTAAGTAGAGATCACATTGAAAGGAACGTGTTAGAATTAGGGATGATTAAGATCACCTAAAAGGAACCAGTTCTAACTCAAAATATTGGTTAGAAAAACTATGAATTTTTGTACATAACTAGATTAGATTCTGCTCAGTCACATACTTTCATCAGTATACTCTTGTGCCATGTGCTAAAATGTCTCAGTAATCTCTAATGATATTATCTTTATTTTTTTGGAAAATTCAGACTTACACAAGAGATTTCTCAGTGAAGTACCTGGTTCATCAAGATTACATGGTACGTATTCTACACTAAGAGTATTTTGAAATAATTATATTTGGATTATGATCAAATGGAGAGTCCCATTTAATCCTAACCTCCTTGACCTTATTTATTACAAAATGAACCAGTTTTATTCAAAGGAATCCCAAAAACACAATAAGTGCCTAGATTTTAGGGAGAGTCATAAATGTCTCTCCGAACTGACTCCCAATTTGATTAGAACTCTGAACTTCTGAAAAAGTAGTTGTTACCCAATTAAACTCTACTTCTTTAAATTGATTAGGCCTTAGTTGTTTCTTCACTTCAAAGTCTAAGCCATCAAACAATTCTCTCTATCTTCTCTCATCGTCCAAACATAAACATACTCTCGTTTATCATACCCAAACACATCAATGGAAAACACTTAAGAGAATCCCTCATCACCACCCAAAGAATTAATACCCACTCCTTCCACCACACCCTCAACCACACCTATCTCCAATAAAGGAAGATTTAAGATGCTTGCTCGCAAAGTAGTTGCTAGAGGAGAACAAATCAAGAAAATCAATGAGAAACTGAAGGCAAGGCAGGCATACGAACCCTAGAAATCTGATGAATCATTCAAGTCTGCTACTGAGGGGGAAGAAACTGTTTCTTCTTAAACAGAGCAGGTAATATCTGGACCTAAAGTTACATCTGAAGTAATCTCTGAGGTTGCTGCAAATCTGGAAACTAGATTTGTTTTGGCAGGAATTGTGGCTGGGGTAGAGATTGCTGGGTCTGAGATGATTGGTAGTAAAAATAAAAGGAAAAAAGAAAAGGAGAGTGAGGGTGCTTGAGGAAATGTGAGGGGAATGGAAAAAAGAGTGGCTTAATCTTCACCCACTCATGTTGGTTTAACTGAAGAAATAGGAGCTATGGAAGTATGGTGTGAGGAATCGGGTGGAAAAGAACAAAGTATGAGAGAAAAAGGGGGAAATGGGTCTAGAGAAGCTACTAAGGGGTTGGTTAGATTGGGGAAGAAGGTTCAAGAACCTGTTCCTTCTGTGCAGGAACCCTTCGAGGACCTACTAAGAAAAGTGTCTGACAGTTACAATCCTAAAAGGAAAAGGAGTTCAGTAGTTAAAGTCCCTCGTACTGCTAGGGCAAACAAGAAAATAAAGGTTGCCTCGTCTATCCCTGTAGAGACTCCTCCTACAAGATGAAGAGATATAGGGAGTCAGAAGAAGCGGAGTGAGGCTGAACTGGAAAAGGCCTTAGAAAAAAGTAAGAGAAAAGTTACTGCTAAGGGAAAGAAGAATGTGGGCGAGCCTGTTGAGGCAGTTGAAATTGAGGAGATGGACCTGGTTCTTCATGATAAAGAGGAGGCAGAAGAAATGGAGGTTGTGACTCCAAAGGCAAAGAAGATCAAGACTTCCTCAAAGAAGTTTGTGTCAAAGACAAAGTATGTAGGTCCATCTACCTTGGCCAGAAGAACCAGGTCTGCTTTGAAGTCTAGAAAAGTAAAAATAGTAGAAGAAGAAGAAGAAGAAGAAGAAGAAGAAGAAGAAGATGCAGAGAAGGACAAGATGGTTAAGTTTGGGAAAAGAACCATCTTGAAAAGTAGACTCCTTAGGAACTTGGAGGAGGAGGGCATGGTGATACTGTTGGAAAAATTACAATTGCAAGGTTGGAAGGACATGGTACTTCATATGGATGGAAAGCTTGCTAGAGCTGAGATTGTGGAGTTCATGGCAAATTGTGAGATCAAGAATGGTAGAATCACCAGTGTAGTGAAGGGGGTGTCAGTGAGTTTTGATGACAAGGAACTGGGACAGATCTTAAGCGTACCTGTTGCAGGGTACAATGATTACAAGAAACTCAAATGGCTAAGTCTAAGGAATCTTCTTACTGCCCTTGCCATTAAAAGAAAGTTTGGTGACAATGAAGAAGAGCTTGAGCCCAAGGCTATATACAAAAGTGAGATGAAGCCACCCCACAAAGTGTTGTTCGAATTTTTTAACAAATTTGTGCTACCTAGGCAAGAAAGGAAGCACATTGCCACCTTCATTGACCTGGTCCTTATGGAATGTCTGGACGGTGGAAGGCAAATCAATTGGCCTTGATTCACCATCCAGCTTCTCGATAGGATTCTGACTGGCACCAAAACTCATGCCATACCCGATAGGTTCATTCTCATGATTGTACTCGTACACTTCAAGGCACCTATTAAGAAATAGGAAGTTGGTACAAGCAAGAATCACTTTGGGGCAAACACTTTGATTGCTTGTGACTATGAAGTCCACACCACTCCCATAGAACATGGTTCATCCAAAAATGTACCTCTGAACAGTAAAGTGCGAGCCTTGGTGCAAGAAAGTGGGGCAAAGGATGCTGAAATAGAAAGGCTGGAGAAGAGGTTGGCAGAAGTAGAAACTGAGAGAGATGCTCTCAGAGCTGAGCTTGCAAAGGAAAAAGAGAAGAATGATGGCATTCTTCATGACATGCTGAAACTTCTTCAAACCAAGAACCAAGAACCTGGTCCCTCCCAGCTTTAAAACCTTCCTAGCCTAGTTAGACACACTAGTGACACGGATGGGATTTCTTTTTGATCTTTTTGCTCATGATCCAGTGTTTTTATTTCTTTTTATGCTTTGTGGATGACTAGTATAAATGATAATCAACTATTTTTGTGTTCTAACTGTTTGTTGATGCTTCTTAGTTGACTAATATCATTAGATTGATAAATGATGCTTGACTCCATGATTACATTTGAAGTAGCCCTAGTGGCCATGAGTAATTTCTATTAAAACCTAGTTATCTAACATAATTATGAAACTTTTTGATAATGTCAAAGGGGAAAGATAGTTTGTGTTGTTTACTTTGGACTATGATGTTTTTAACCTAATGAACCTGGTCCTTGATGATTTGTGACTTAAAAATGGAAAGTGTTCTAACATTGTGTTGATGTTGAGTTAAGTTGACACAAGGCCTATGCTTAGAAAAAGCACAGAGTTTGTCAGCATCAAAAAGGGGGAATTTGTTGGACCACGTGAAGTTAGTTTTGATGATTGACAAAGGAACTCAAGCATGAACCAGGTCCATACACAGTGTACACAGACACGGGCAGATTCGAGCATAAGAGATGCACGTGAAGGAGATAAGCTTAAGTTGTTATATCTTATATCTCCTGATCGAAAAGGTTGCATAAATAATAAGGAGAAGAACTCCTTACTCGAAAAGAACTTTATCCAAGATAAGGGAGGAGTTAGAAGTTGAAGATAACTAGAACTCTTCCACCATGGAAGAGTAGCATTAGAACTCTAGTTATTCATATCCTACTAACACTATAAATTACAGGATGTTCTCATTCTACAGTGACGCACAAACGCTGAAGTTAAACGTGAGTTGAGAGCAAAATAGCAAGGCATTTTGAAAATAATTCTTGTGTGATTCAAGTGTGCGAACCTGAAGCTACATGAACCAGATAGAAAAATCAGTTCCAAGTGTCTGTCTCTTATTCTAGTTCAATTGTAGTAGGGCTTTTCAAATTGTACCTTTCAGCTTTATCTAGAGGCAATTGTATTAGGTACTCTGAGTATTCAAGTTAGAGTTAACTTGAAGTTGTCGCAACAGTTAGAGGTTGGTTACCACAACGGGATTAGAGGTAATCCTTAGGTTTACAAAGATTTTTGTAAATATTGTTTTGGCTCAGTGATTTAGTGAAGTGTTGGAAAAAATCCTATTGAGTAGTAGGTCGTGGTTTTTTCATCTTTTGAGCCGAGTGCTTTCCACATAAAAATATTTGTGTTCTTTACTTTCCGCATTTACTATTTCCGCAACAGTAGTATAAGGAACACATAGAAGAATTAGGTCCTTCTATAATCAGTGCACGCGAAAATCGGAAATCACACAAATCACCCCGGGTGACATTAAAGTATAAAGCATCACTTTCAGAATATGATAAACTATCAAGAAGGAATTTAAACTGATAGTAATTGAAATCTGAGGCATCAAAATACACACACACACACACATATCACCTATTAGTTACAGGACTAAGTCCTGCGAACAAGAATAATCATAGCACATGTTATATCAAATGGTTGGCAAAGGAAGACGTTTAATATGCTATCGCCTTGGAAAAAAAATATTTATTTAACTGGTTATCAATCTAAACATAACCTATCACCTATGTAATTTATGACAATATTCAGGATTTCAAGTCAATATATATGGAATATCACTATATTTAAATTTTTTAACAATATGTATATACTTGGTTACTGTAGTATACAATTTTCAATTGTATAGTACATAATNTATAGATACACAGATATACATAACCAGCATATACAGACCCTCACCTTGAATCTTATCTTATGGTAGGCAATATGAGAAATTTGATATTCCTGACATCTCTTAGCGGTTTCGGAAGAACCAAATTAGTGAAACAAATGATTTATTTCCAAATAAAAAACTTTGAAAATTTTGTGAACCAAATTTTCTTTACTAAAGTGTTTATTCCCTTTTCTCTAATTTTCTAAGCACCGAGTATAGCGGTGGGAAGAGAGAGAAACATATTGGATCCCACCCTAATTTTCTCATTTCGAGTACTTTAGTCCAATTGATTCAAAGTCAAATAGGTGGACTCAGTAGCACGATATGGCCAACCAAAATCTTTAAACTCAAGGAACTTTGTGTACTTTATGATAACTAGTTTTCACATTGAAATGCTGCCCTTTAATCTCCATATACTCATTCTCTCAAAGCTTCGCTCTTTAGCCTTTTTTCCTTCACAAATCTTTGCTTTACATGTTACGATGAAGACATACAAACCAAATGGCCGACGTTTCATCATTTCCTCATTTTTCTTTATTATATTCCTTTGCGTTCTAGCTTCAATCAATGAAATCCGATTTGACAGCTTTTTGATATTAGGTAGTTGTGCTTTCTCTCAAACACCAACTAGAAATTCTTCTTCTGCTACAAACTTTCTTAGTGTAAATTCCTCTTCCTTGTCCACCAATAACGAAATCCGAATTCTCATAGGAATTTTGACACTTCCCGATCAGTACCAAAAGCGACACTTCCTGCGTCTAATCTATGGAACACAACCTCCAATAATGGGTGCAAAGGTTGACATCAAGTTTGTGTTCTGCAATCTAACAAAAGAAGATCAAAAGGTATTAGTAGCACTTGAAATAATGCGTTACGACGATATCATCATCCTAAACTGCCAAGAAAATATGAACAAAGGCAAGACGTATACCTATTTTTCCAGCTTGCCAGAGCTATTTTCAGTCTCAGATGACCAGCCATATTATCCACCTTATCATTACGTGATGAAAGCCGACGATGACACATATATAAGGCTTGAGAGTTTTGTAGAATCCCTAAGGCCATTGCCTAGGGAAGATTTGTACTATGGTTATGTTATTCCATGTCCAAGCATGGACCCTTTTGTTCATTACATGTCAGGAATGGGTTATTTAGTGAGTTGGGATATCGCAGAATGGATAAGAGAATCTGATATTCCTAAAAGCCATTTAGAAGGCCCAGAAGACAAGGTTTTTGGAGAGTGGCTCCGAGATGGTCACCGGGCAAGACATCGGTACAATGCCAAATGGTCTATGTACAATTTCCCCGAGCCGCCGACGAGATGCACGCACGAGCTGTGGCCGGACACGATTGCAGTTCATATGCTCAAGAATCAAGAAAAGTGGATTCAGACGCTCAACTATTTCAATGTCACTAGGGATCTTAAACCATCTAAGTTGTATCATATATGATATACCTTAGGCAAACACGTATTTTCCTCTGTTTTAGTTCTCTAGTTAACGTGACAATTTTTTTGAGATGATTCAAAGAGAAACAAGTTGCAGAAATTCATTACACAATCTAGCATTTAAATTTTTAACGGGTTTCATAATATCTTAATAACCTAATTATATCTATTTTCAAACAAAAATCAATATGTTTACCCTTATAATTGGATAACAATTAAACTTATAATGAGGTTCTAAAGATACGTGATTTCACTTAATATCGATAGACAAATATAAAGATTAATAACAGAAATGAACTATAAAATAAAGCGAACCAGTATTGAAACGGAATTCAACCCTCTAGAGTGCCCTCGAATTGAATGATGCAAGAACTATGAAAGTATAACAAGCTCAATAACAATGGTGAAAACAATAAAGAGAATTGTTGCTTTTTGTGTCTGTCAACCGTGTCCTCCAAATGATTAGAATCCCCATTTATATAGCAGAGGAGTTCCACTTATGGTACAATTCTAATTACAGAAAGAAACCCCATGATTAGCTAATTAACCGTTTCTGATTTGATCCGTTCCGAATTTATGCCATGATCATCGGCCAGTCACCGAGATTTACGCCATGATCCTCGGTCAGCCCCGAATATCTTGTCTTTCTGTTATTATGCTATCTTCGATCTTGCTCAATGTCTGTCTCATTTGGTTTCGATCGCTACTAGCCTCGATCTCGACAGGTACCTCGGTTCTGAACTCGGTACCTTATCCTTGTGATATGGCCTATTCCGTTACGAGACCGTCCTTCGATGCAAACTCCCGGTCTCAGTCAAACGGTAAAATCGGGTGGGGCTGATTTTAAGCGTATACACAATATGTGATTACCAAAATGAGATCAACTTTTCACGCACATGAAATTCATGCATGGTGAAGAGTAGGTTACATAAAGCAGTTTCCATTCTCATGCAAAATTACCTAATTAGAAACTACAGATGCGGTTGACAATTTGACCAAAAGTGCAAGCAAGAAGCTGCNGGGAAGAAAGAGAAAAAGAAATAGAAAATGGGAGATGGGTTTTGGGGAAGAACGGGAAGGGGGTTAGTTTTTTCCTTTGTATATGACTGTTTTTTTTATTATTATTATTTTTTTTTTTTTCTTGTTAGTTCAATCATTTCTTAGGCCAATTATTTATGTTCACGCTCGTTGCATGCGTGAATTACACGCTTGTTGTCCAACTCAGTCATAATGTTGTCACGTATGATTGGTCAACGGTCAGAGGTGTTTAAAATATAGGTTTTGATTAATTAAAAGAGTTTGAATAAAAACAATTTAAGTAGAAGGACCGGGATGTCAAATCGAAATATGTTTAGGGGTCTACTAGGCCATTCTGCTTTTTTTTTTTAAATATTCTTTAGGGAATAAATTTCTATTGTGACTTTCAAACTGACAGAGTTTTTTTTATTTGTTTGTGAAAATTGACTGAAAGTTTGTATTTTACCCCATCAAAGAAATTAAGTGGTTCTGTGAAGACAGTAAGGGGCCGTTTGGCCATACAAAAGTTTTCGCTTTTTTTCAAATAAAAATTATTTTTTTCCAAAATTATCGTTTGGCCATGAAATTTTGAATTTTCACTTGAAGATGAATTTTGGAATTTTTGGAAAATTTGAAAAACTCCAAAAAATTATTTTTCAAAATTCACTCAGATCACTCGCAAAAATTCAAAAACAACCCAAAATTATATTCATGTCCAAACGCAACTCTAAGTTTCAAATAACCATTTTCACTTGAAATTGTTTTTCACTTTTTTAGAATTTTACAATTCTTACGTCCAAACGCCCACTAAGATTATCTAAAGGTCATCATTTGAACAGCCGTCAGTGTGTACAATTGGCTTCCTTATCACAGTTGACCCAATTGAACCCCTTGTTTCCCACAAACTATAAAAAGAAAAAGAAAAAGAACTAATTAATGGTTTCAATTGTGGGAGTAACTGATATTCCGCAAAAAATACATGTTTTTAGTAGATTTACGCTTCATATCTTGGGCACAATTGTATGAAGACGGACGGCTATCGATCCTCGCGTAGTGTGCGACGCAAATGAGCACCCCAGTTATTCTATCCGACCAGGTATTGGATGATGCTACCCCAAACTTACCCTAGGTAATATATACCCCAAGAAACGTCTTTTAGAGGGGGATACACTACTTTGGAGGCGAGGAACAGATGAGGAGCAAAGACGAAAGGAATTGGGCGATGAGTTTCTATTTTTCTTCCATCTTCTTTGTTAGTTTATGAAATTTTATCATTGTTTTGAGATGAACTCTAGCCGTGGCTAATTTCTCTATCATCTCGTTGTGGCTAGCCATGAATATTGACGTTTAACGATTGTTTCTCTTTTAATACAAATTGTCATCATGTGGTTATTTCTTTAATTCTGCACATAATTACTTTGTCGACAGTCTAGTTCTATATACTATCAAGGTTATAGAATCATTTTTAGATTAGAAAAGAATTAAAGAGTACTTGAACTCAGCCCTAGGGTTAAGGTGCGGATTTAGTTATGATAGGAATATACCTAGTCACCTCGCTTAACTAAATATCGTGACCTCGGAGTGTTCATAATAGATTAATTTCATAATGATATAGGTGTTAATATGCTTTTAATAGGCGAGTAACATTTCAGAAGAACACTACAAGTCTAATTTGGCAAATTAGGAACCATAGATAATTCGAATTAAGAAGAAATAATCTATATCTATTTATCTATATATAAAAGGAGAAGCAAAAGAATGTAATGATACCAAATGGTATAACTACAATTCAGACACATCTCCAATAAAGTTGGAGTTAATATGAAATTTGAAACTAGAACTAGAAAATCTATCTATATATAAAAGGAGAAGCAAAAGAATGTAATGATACCAAATAGCATAACTACAATTCAACAAGTGTCATTTTTTAAGACACGTCTCCAATAAAGTTGGAGTTAATTTGAAACTAGAACTAGAAAATAGGCAAAAAAACATTCATCCAACGGATTCACAAAAAAAAAAGGGATACTGCCTCCCATGTTGGGCAGTTATTTTATGGCTATCTATATATAAAAGGAGAAGCAAAAGAATGTAATGATACAAAATGGCATAACTATAATTCAACAAGTGTCATTTTTTAAGACACGTCTCCAAAAAAGTTGGAGTTAATTTGAAACTAGAACTAGAAAGTAGGCAAAAAAAACATTCATCCAACGGATTCACAAAAAAAAAAGGGATACTGCCTCCCATGTTGGGCAGTTATTTTATGGAAATTAAGATTTTTTTTAGTTAACAATAAACAAACAATTATTATCAAAATTTAAAAGTTCACATTTAATTACAGTTACAACTCCTAATAATAAGGATATAGACAAGGCAATAGTTACAATCTTCTTAAGTACCGTTTCAAGCCAAAGCCTTCACGTTTTCCCCGTCGTTTCAACCAAACACATAATTTTCAATTTCAAACGCCTCAAGTTTCAACTGCAATGGCACTCAAGGCAGAGAAAAAAAATAACAAAGGAGAAGAAGTTTAACGGAGAAGATGATCAGAAGGTAGAACGCTTTTCTTTTCCCAGTTTTTCATCTGAAGGTAGAAAGTTTCACTATTGCAACTTGGTTGATTGGTTACTTAATTCAAAATCTGAATGTGCTACATTTGTGTTTAGGACAAGGAGTGGTTTGGATAGCAGGTCATGGTTTCAAAAGAACTTGGAGCAAAAAAACAAGTAAATTTGTTGATTTGTGCCAGTAAGAATCTTCACCAATTCAGTATATTTCTTATGATTTTCATTTCTCTAATCCCTTTTTTCCCCTTACTTATCTTCTTCATTTGTTTGGTCATGGTTATAGGAAGGAGATCAAGTATCCAAATATGGAATTTTAAATAATGTTTTGCTGTTGAAGTATTCATCGTTTTTATGTCTTTTTTTTGGTTGGCAACTGTCCCTTCTCTTTTCACTTTCTTCTTTTCTGCTTTCCTCTATTTCTTCTTCTTTGTTTCTTTTGGTAGAGCAACTTACTGGAGAAAACTATTCCAATTTTATACTCATGAAACATTTTCAAAGGTAAATTAATTTTTGTACTATTTACAGTTATGCCTATAAAAGGTAAAGTTTCAACTTAACAATATGCTAGATGATTATTGAACAGTTATGGTAGATGCATGTTTCAATTTTTTTAATATTTAAGTTTTCTAAGGATTATGTTATATAGGTTCTTAAAGACCTTCTTACTATATTTTATGTGGAATGATTACGTTTGTTTTCTATGGGAGGGAAGGAAACTGATGGAAAGCTTGAAAACTATATATTTTCTTTGTAGATTAACTTGCTCATCTAAGTAGGATATTTTACTTTCTATTTACTGGTTTTAAATATCGGTCTTAGCAGCACTACATATTTTATGCGCACTAATCTTTCTTTTGACATTTTCAATTTCGCCGCTCCAATAATTCAAGGACAGAGTATGTTTTTCCAAATGTTATTTTATATGCATTTCGCAATTTTGTGTGCTGAGTTTTTGGATAAATATGAAGGACTTTTCCAAAGTGGATGTTATATTGACTGTAACAAATGATATTGATGAAGTAAAAATTGGATTAACAGAATGACTACAAAATGATAGAATGAAATGTTTTATTTTCTCTCCTATAATTTTTTTTTTTGTGTGAAAATTGAAATTTATTGTAACAAAAGAAATAAAGAAAAAAATCCTATTTTTTCATTCTGTAACGACTCGACCGGTTGTTTTGAATATTATAACCCCATTTTCCCATTTACTGCTAAATTTATGCCTTGCTATTGATTTATGACTTATCGGGTTAGTTGGTTCGGGTCCGGAAGGAATTCGGAGTGAAATGAGACACTTAGTCTCCTAATTGAAAAAAATAATTAAGTTAGAAAAGTGGACCGGATATGGACCTATGTGTAAACGACCTCGGATTCGAATTCTGATAATTTCAATAGCTCCGTATGGTGATTTCGGACTTAATTAGGAGCGCGTCCGGAAGACTGTTTGGAGGTCCGTAGAGGAATTAGACTTCAAATGCCGAAAGTTAAATTTTTGGAAAGTTTGACCGAGGGGTTGACTTTTTGATATCGGGGTCAAAATCCGATTCTGAAAATTTTAATAGGTATGTTATGTCATTTATGACTTGTGTGCAAAATTTGAGGTCAATCGGACGTGATTTGATAGGTTTCGGCGTTATTTG